TGCCCTGTTCTGGACAGCAGAGGTTGGCCTATTGCTTTGTTAGATGTCCATGTCAACACTGGAAAGGCATCACCTTCAGCTTCACCTGAATATCCTGGCAAAAGTGGGGTTTCCCTTAGCGTTAAAACCTGCTGCCCATCCCCACCTGATGGGGGGGATGCTGGGAAGTGCAAATCCTGACCCATTGAGGAGGGAGGAGGGCAGAAACTGCTTTGAGATGCAGAAGGCCTGGACGATGGCAGATGCCCAAGAGGCCTACAGAGACTGGCATGCCTTCTTCTGCACAGGTGCGCCAAGAAAGGAGCTCTACGCTTTGCAGGGCTATTGGTTTCTTCTGCCACGGCTGTCCTTCTGTCCCCTTCCAGATCCGAAGGAATGGGAGAGAGCAAGAAAGGGAGAGTAAGAAGAAAGAGAGAAGGAGAGAGAGAGAATAAGAGAAAGGAGAGAGGAGGAGAAGGAGAGAGAGAAGAGAGAGGAGAGAGAGAAGAGGATGAGAAAAAGGAGAGGAGGAAGAGAAGAAGAGAGAATGAAAGAATAAGAGAGGAGGAGAGAGAGAAGAGACAGAGAAGAGGAGGGGGAAGGAGGAGGGGGAGAGGGAAGAAGAGAAAGAGAAGGAGAGAGAGAGGAGAAGAGAGAGAATAAAAAAGAGCAGAATGGAGAGAGGAGAAGGAGGAGGAGAGAGAAGAAGAGAGANTCGCGGCTTTAGCGACGCGCTTATGTCTCCGCAGATAAGGGCTTCGCGGTTTTGTCGTGCCACGGTTTCATGCTGCCTGTCATTGGTCAATATTTTAACAATACTTCTGCCCCTTCCAAGAGGAACACATCCATTCACCCGACAGGCTGTATAAATCTCATTTTTATGCAGAAAATAAGGTAACCATGTTTTAAATACAGAGGTAACCATGGGTAGAAATGCTCAGGTAAAGAAATTGTGTAGTTGCAAGAGTACAAATTTAATGATCATAACAACAACGCCTGCCTATCTCAGATCCTTAGACATGACTCAATAGGTGGATTGAAATGCCAAATCCAGTCTAAACATCTGGTTGGCTGTGTAATGAATCATCATCATAATAACATAGACGAGATAGCGGCACATAAATCTAATAAGTAAAAGAAACATGATGGCATTATAGGTTCTTGGGGGAAAAATGGACACATATGAAGACCAACGCCAGCTAAAGAATCAGCAGCTGTGTTTTCATATGTTGTATATGCTGTATAATAATACTAATTCCCGCTATAAATGATGGGAAAGGGCTGGAAAAGAACAGCACGGAGGACTAAAACAGGAACAGATGAGTTAACTAAACGACATTCATAAGATGACACGAACAAGCTTATACGTCCCAGCATCAGGAAAAAATTTTTTAAATGAAATGCCATTTGTTAATTTAAGTAGGTAGCTGTCTGAAATACTAAGTAATTCAGGTCTGAAACGCTAATATGCTACTGAACATTTCTTGCTGTGGCCACACATATGCAGTCAACCAGCTTTCGGGAGTGGGAGGACTCCCTGGCTCGATCCGGCCACGGGGCTCCACAGCGGAAAGGAAGTGGATGGTTTGCTCACTCGCAGTGATGTTGAAACGTGGCACTAAATAAGTAGATTCAGTTCCCATGTAGCCATGGGGCAGGAACTGTTCTTCTTCATGGCTGGCGCTGGCTGCTTCCTTGCCTACCTGTGAGGACAGAAAAAGGCGCTGCTTAGCCAGGCTGGGGATGATGGTGGGAAATTGCAGGAAGGAAGCCAAATGGAGAGAGGTCCTTGGCAAGATTGCCACCGAAGCCATTGAGACACATCCAAGGTGGCATCTAATTCTAATCCCCAAATTTGCCTACATGGTGATCTCTTTTTTTTCCCCCTAATGAATTCTCCTATTTCTGTCCTGGGGCCAGCGACATATTACCCGTGAATAGACTTCCTAAGTGCCATATAATTTATAATGACAGAATTAGTGTTTGTGCCAAGTGGGAATTCTAAGTTGTGTCTGGATAGAGATGAAAGGAAGTTAACTGCCCGGAGACTAGGCAGCGTTTACACGGCGTTTCGGTGAAAAGATTCCAAGAGAGTTCCTGGGCAGGGAAAAGGTGACTTGGCCTTGCCTGCAACCGCCGGCAATTTATACTGTAGCGAACTTCTACCCAAACTAGAAAATGGTGCCAAGGAGAAAAGAGACCCTGCATTCCATCCTTCCTACCTTCCCTATTTGGATGGAAAAAGAAAAGTGAGTTTAGCAAGGACTTCACTCTTCTTAGCACCCACTTTCTCTCAGGCTTTGCAAGACTGCATTCCAAATTTTAGGACAATGTGGCTTTCCAACACAGTCTCTTTAAAAGGAGGGAGTAGAAGCCTGTCAAATATTCCCCTCTCTCTCTCTCTCTGCTGACTCAAGTCAGTCATCAGGCATTTGAATCTGGACAAGAGACTGAAAATAGGCAGCTCATCGGTCTATCACATAAACCTGTGGTACGTGAAGCCTTTTTAGAACTTGTTATCGTCACTGTGCTGCCGATGCTTCAGTTCTGGATGTGGCCGGGAACGCCAATTCCAGTCGAGAATGCTGACAATCCTCTGTGGCCACGGAAGCCTTTCTCCGGCCAAAATCTGGCAGCGGAAGAGAGCCAGAGGGGTCTTTGCAAGGGCCAAATGAGGCAGTGACTAAAGGAAAAAAGACAGGGGCCCGGTCAAAATTTGAATTATTACCTGAGCAAATTCAAACTGAAAATAGTCTTTTATATATAAATCCTAGTGCATTTCGCCAAGTAATTCCCCTGTCGCGTTAAAATTAAGTGGAACTGCACTTCACTGGCAAGTTTTGAAATTGCTCTGGAGGTCAATACTTGCTCAGGACATTTTCAGGGCTGTAATTACGTTAGGTGCTTTTGGGGAGTAGGTATTTCTTTACGTTTAGGAAACAGGAATTTCTGCTCAATTGTTTAAATTTGAAACAAGCTTTAGACATGTACTATGGCCATTTATCCAAAACTGGCATAGTTTTTCGCATGGCAAACATCACTGCGGTTAACCAGGAGGCGTAATTTAGCCCTGCGGTGCCAATGGCCATCTCTATAGAGATCAGGACAGAAGACTTTAGCCGCATTGGAACATTCACCAGAAGCCACGAGAGACGCCTCTTCTGTCTTGTAAGAGGCCATCCCACCGACTTTAAATAAAGCCAGGAAAAGGCAGAAGATTCCATGATCATGATCTGGAAGCAGATGTTGCAGTAGGAACTGTTCTGTCCCACCTATTTAATCTTAACCGGTTACTGTGCACACCCCACACAGAGAAAAGAAAAGAAAAGCAGCTTTTTAATTACATTTGTTTTGCTATCTGTGCATGGAATCTTGGTTTTTATATATATTTTTTTCCTCATGGAAGCAAATTCTGCTTTACAAGTGTACAAAGCAGGAAAGGAAAAAATCTTTCTAGCAAAGTGGTTTAGCTGTAGATTTTTGTATAAAAAGGCAAGAAAACAAAACAACAAAAAAAGAAGAAAGAAAATAAAAATAACTTAAAAGAGCCATCTTTTGTCTACTCTAAGGTGTGAAAAATGCGATTGGTGAGCAAATACTTCCTTTTCACAAGCAGCCCCTGCTTGTGAGCAGAGAGTTAAGTTATCTGCGGAAGAGAGAAAGTGATTGGAAGTGCAGATCCACCAGTTGCTTCATTAATAATGTGCTTTCAAAAACTGTCTCTTTTGTTACATAAAGGTGGCTTTCCTTTTGGGTTCTGTTACTTTAACGGTAACAGTTTTTGAAAAATGTCAAGGAACTAATGTTTAAAAAAGAAACTTGAACATAGTTTACAGTTTTGTATAAAAATACAGTCAATGTTAACAGTGTTTTTTAACAATCATTAAGAGTGCCAAAACAATGTAAAGTGCGTATGTCCATGTTTTTCCTTTCCTTTTTTTTTTTGGTTTTGAAAAGTATTGAAACCCACAGACACACGCACACACACACACACATACAGACCCCCATACATCCCTAACCTTGATCCTTTTTAAAGAAAAATCAAATGGCAATGTATATGGTCTAAAATGTATTTTAAAATTGTTAAATAATAATTGGTCAGGAATATTTTTTTTTGTTTTTTGTTTTTTTAAACCCAGAAAAGAAATAACACTTTCAAAATACAGCTTGATAGAAGATAACGTTTCTTTCTTTTCCCTGGTTTGAATGTTGAAAAGTGTTTTGCTTCGTTTTCGGTTTGGGGAACTCAAACATCCCAGAATAAAGGAAAAGAAGGGGATGTCTCTCGGCAGTAACTGGGGGGAAACTGGGGGCCAGAATATAAGTTTTGCTCCTCGGAGTATTGGATGGGAATATATTTAGTAGAGAAACTTGCTCTGAATCATAAGCCAGAACTAAACTTGAGGATTAGCCACAGGGCTGGAATTAAATATCTTCCTCTTGATATATAGAGCAGAAGTAGCTTTCTTGCCCCAGCAGTCCCTCCTCTTCTGACGGGATGCGACCCAGGATGTCTCCACCATCCTTTTCCAGAGCACCGGTGTGAAAGAAGCAAGTGTCAGAAACCCAGGGACACCTTCGTCCCGTGACCCGTCAAAACCGCGGAGGACAAAATCGCGCTCGACGAAAGCGNCCTCTTCTTTCCTTCCTCCTCTCCTTCCCCTTCCTTCTTCCCTTCCCTTTCCCCTACTCCTACTCTTCCTCTTCCTCCCTTCTCTCCTTCTCTTTCTCTCCCTTCCTTCCCCCTCTCCTTCCTCTTCCTTCTTCCCTTACCTCTCCCTTACTCCTACTCATCCTCTTCCAGAGAAATATTCTGCCTTTTCAATATTTCCTAGGATATTTCATTTTTCTGGGAGAGGGCTGGGTGATAAACTTCCTACAGTTCTTTCCATGCAAATTTGTGAAAAAGCTGCATCAAATCAATGTATCATTTATGACATCAACACCTGTGTTCAGGTATCACCCACTGTACAGGTGAAATGTTAACGCTGTGCAATATCTTTGGCCCTTTCCCCCCCCCCCAGGTGGACCCTTATGGAAACATTCTTCTCAGCTCTTTGGAAATGAACAATGAATTGTTAGCATCGGATATGATGACCACAGGAGGAGAATCACGAAACTCTGTCATGTCCTACGAAGGATCAGGAATTCAGTTTCGCAAGCAGCTGGGACCCCGAGATGGTTTTGGGCACCACGCCCCTCTAGAACGCCGCGTCCCACTGACCCACCATGCAGCAGTCCGTAATCGTGCCAACTGCCGACTCCGTCGACGGTCGTCCAAGCTGAAGCTCAAAATCCCCGACCTGGCGGATGTCAGCACCATTGACAAATGGTCAAGGATCATTTTCCCCATCGCTTTTGGATTCTTCAACCTGGTTTACTGGTTGTACTATGTAAATTGATGCCTGCAGACCAGAGGAAGAATAGGGGAAGACACTCAGACTTTGACAACAACACAGGAGTGCGGCGACCTTCGGGGTTTGGTTACTCTCTTGATTATGACCAATTTTTTCACTCCATCCCCCAGCTTTGATTTACATTTCTGCAAATCGTTATTCCTCTTTTCAGCACATGATGCGCACACAGAGTTTGCGTGGTGGGCTGTGTGGGTTTGTTGAAGGGGGAGGGAATGGTTTTCAGGGATTTTCGTACCTTCCCCCTTCCCTCCCCCCTCTCTTATGCTTGAAATACTTCACCCCCAGGGATGGGTATTGGGGGGTGGGGTGGGGAAAGAGGGAGATAATCTCTGTCTTTTTTTAAAATTCATTATTGCAGCTAGTTTAGTTATTAGGATAGTCTTGCAAAAGTTAGCTCTAGAATGCGTTGGCAAATGCCTGGCCATCATCTCCATTAATTCCATCTCCGTTAATTCGCAGACTGTGCAGTTCCTTATTCCAATAGTTGTTTTTTTTTCCCCCCTTTCTTCATGGATTCTTTTGAAAGGCATTCTCCCACAGCATGAATTTCCTTTGTTTTGTCTGGCCTTCTATCTTATAGCTGCATAAGCGTTTGTTTAAAACAACAGAACCTTTATTTTACAACTGTTTGGGCAGAAAGGGGAAATTACCAATGGGGAGGGGGGAACGGGGGGGACATCTGCTGTGAGTGTGTTGAGGACAAAGGCATGTTTGCAAGCTGCATTTATGACTTTTCAAAGTTTGGGGAGTGTTTGCTTTCCTGGGCTGAATGTATATCTTGGGGGGTGGGGGTGGGATTTGTATCGTCCGTTGGTGGAATACAGAGGTGGGTTCCTACCGGTTCGCACTGGTTTGGTAGAACCGGTTCGCACCGGTTTGGTAGAACCGGTTCGTCAAATCTACCAAACCAGTTAGAAGAGGTTCCACCAGTGGACCCGGAAAGCAGGCCACACCTACAGAAGAGGTTTCAAAAAATTTTGGACCAGTGGTGGAATAGAACCGAGAGTCAGTAGGCATAAAGGAAGGTGGTGGCTGCTTTGTATCCCTCCTTCAGATTGAGTTTGCCCTGGTTGAATGGGCCCCTTTTGGGCTGCCTTGCTTTCCTTGCCACTGCCCTTATTTCTTGATGCCAGAGATGGACTTGAAAACATCTCAGGTGGCAGTAAAAGCTTAGATGGATCCTTTCTACAGTTCTTTTTATAATCTCTTTTTGACGGGATGGGAATGCAATCTAGGCGTAGAGTCCATGAAGTTATAATCATTTGCAAATTCCAACGAACAAAATCGCGGCCCATGATCTGTTGTTTATTTATTTTTATTTTATTACTTCATTACTCTTCTATTTTATTTACAGAATAACAGAGTTGGGAAGGACCTTCGAGGTCTTATAACCCAGCCTCCTGCTCAGACAGGAAACCCTATAACATTTCAGACAAATAGCTGTCCAATCTCTTCTTATACAATTCCAGTGGTGGAGCACCCACCAAATTCTGGAGGCAAGTTGTACCACTGATTAATTGTTCTGTCAGGAAATTTCTCCTTAGTCCTAGACTGCTTCTCTCCTTGATTAGTTTCCATCTCTTGCTTCTTGTTCTGCCCTCAGGGGCTTTGGAGAATAGCTTGACTCCCTCTTCTTTGTGGCAACCCCTGAGATATTGGAAGACTGCTACCATGTCACCCCTTCTTTTCATTAGATTAGACATATTCAATTCCAATCGTTCTTTATATGTTTTAGCTTCCGGTCCCATAATCATCTTTGCTGCTCTTTTCTGCACATCTTTTTTACACTGTGTAAAATGTATACAAAATGTATAATGTACAAAATTATACAATGTAATTATATAATGTAAAAATTATTTAATTTATAGGCTGCCCCATTCCAAACAAAACTGAGTGGCTGACAATTAAAAAAACAACTTATTAAAAGACACACAATAGAAGAGAAAAATCCAAAAAACATCAAGATAAATAAAGCTAAGTAAAACAATATCTTCAGAGATAACGCAAAATTATTACTTGACTAAAAAATTCCACGCAAACTTCACAAAATTTAGAAGACCAACCAGAACAAAATGTTTTTCAAATCCAAATGTAGTCATTCCCAACTTCTTCTAAGATATCATAAACGAATCCAATTTCTAATTTCTAAACTCATTTCTGTTGATGCTTTATATTTTTGAAAATCTGATATATCTTGCATATTATCTTTGGAGTATTCACACCTAGCCTCTGGAATGTCTTTGCTTTTTGGGACATGCTCATTTTGACTTTCATTTCATTTTCCTAAATAATTGTATCATTTAATGTAGCATCTTTAAATTCTTCCACTTTTCTATCATAAAGAAGGCATCCTGTACATTGTGGTATCTTTGTTTTGTAAAAGACCTCTGGATGGGCAAACCACATGTAATTACCGGCTGTTTCCATACTTAAACATTGCTTGTGATCGTTACATTAATTAACCAACTTTGGATTCCTACACATGAACAGTATAACAGTTCCTTAAAAATAGTTTGCAAAGATTTATGATCAGTCTCTATTGAAAGTTGTTTTCTGGAAATAGAGAGAATTCTTATACATCCAAAAATGAAAGCTAACATTTCTTTTTCGATCTGAGAATAATTTTGTTGTGATTTACATATGGCTTTGGAGAGATGCCAGAGGAAATCCTCCTTGTAACAATATTGCATCTAAATCAGATGCGCTGGCATCTACTAATGACACAATTTTTCACCTTATATAGTAATATATAAGTAATACAGGTGTCTTTGTTAACAACTCTCTTAATTTATTAAATGTCTCTTCATCAATTGGCATCCACTGTAATTCCATTTCTGGAAGATGTTTTGCTAAATAATTGGCCATACTTAAATATTGCTCGGTACATTAACAATAGTTTCAATCTTCATTTTGACAGGTTTCACAGCACTGCAATTAACATATGCCCCAAATACTTTACCTCATTTAATCTAATCATGTATTTTCATTTTATTTTGTTCTCCATCTTTTTGAAAGCTTATTAATTCTTGTGTTCTTGTTTATCTTTAACCTATGCCAGAACTTCATTATTAAATATCATAAAGAACAAGGCTAATTCTAAATCATCTAGAATCTGCTGCATTTTATAGACTTCAGGGGGGGGGAGGGAGAAATACCAAATAAACTTTAAAATTTGTACTTATCAAATTTTAAAAATTCATATCTCCAAACTCCTGTAATCTAACTGCATTAAAAAAAAACTATTTGCATTGAAAACGATAAACAATTGTGTTCCCACTAATTCTTTTTCTACAGTTAGTAATAATAGTGTTTTCTTAAAATAGCTTTATTTAAATTCCCGGAACCAAAACATATCTTTGTTTCCATCCTGATTTCTCCATAATTAGTACTCAATTTACTCATTCAATAGAATCATCCACTTTTATTACAATTCCTGTGTTCCACTCTATTCCGTTCTTGTTCAATTTTTATGATTACCGGACTATTTCTTGCACACAGGAAGTACTTGTTAATTCAATTTGATTCATTTAATTTCATTTAAATTCAATTCAATAATGTCCTGTTAGGTATCTTAATTAAAAATCGGTTTTTAAATGTGCATGCTGTATTTACACACGAATTTAAAATTCTACTTCTTGCAAAAACTCTCAGAAGAAGGTTTAAATGAATTACTGTGCTTAACTTAAAGGAATCCTTGTTTTAAAATTCATAACTAGAACTTTAATATCAAACTCATAGACTTATACCTGAAATTTATTTCACTCTTTTTTTCCCTGGAACTACTCAATAAGACCCAACATTTACTTATGCTCCTGTAAATCTTAAAATTTCAGTTTTGTAACAATCTATAATTAAATAATGGGTTTGTAATTAAACCTGTTCATCTTTCCCCCTCTATTTTAAAAACTCTGGTCAAAAGTTCTTCATTCAGAGCACATACAGTAGGACGTTTGCCATTAGTTCATTAGTTCTATACGGTTTTGCAAAATGAAGAAACTTTGCTGTCCATCATTCTGCCTCAACAGCCAGATGGGTTGTTTCAGGAGGATAAACTCTAGGTAGGTGTTGTATTTAACATTTTACTCCTCAGAATTTCAGTTTCCTTTTAACTGAGTTCCAGGCAGCTCCTCAGCACTACAAACATCAACAGCATCTTCCAACATCTTGCAACATCTTGTTCCAATGGTTACATCTTCTGTAACTCTTTGGGTTTCATTCCATATCAGATGCAATCTTTAAAATGTGCTACAAGTGTTAACTCCGTTATAGAGGGGGATAATATCGCCTCTTTGTTTCTTTGTAGGCCTTTCATAATGTAATATTCTCGGTCAATACACAGTTATTTTCACATTTCTCAAACAATGCTTGCAGCTTTTGTTGATCAGACTCCTGGTCAGATTGTAGTAAAGACTTTGGTTGCCTCATCTCCAGCAACAGGCAGAAATCGACTGCCTGTAATTTCTTGTTCTTTGCATTAAGTTCACTACCCTCACAATGCAGCTCAAGTCTTTCCAATCATTTTCTCCGGTTTTCAGCACCTGGAAAACCTAACCTATTTGTGGTTGCAGCTGATCTGGCCTAGAAATTCCAAATTTTCTCGGTTTTCTTTTGATGTCCTGCTATATTTTTTTCAACCATGGCAAACAGAAATAACCCAAATCCATAGCAAATACTCCTGTAAGTTTTACTGCTACTAGTTTACATTCGGTATAAAAAGTAAGTATTTTGATCTCATCTCCCCCAGTTATAAGTTTCCTTCCAAGAGGTACAACTTGTAACTGCTCCGACTCTCACAGTGGCCCACACTGATGCCCAATTCTGAAAGGAGCCCAGGAGGCTCTCTGCAGTTCAACAACCAGAAATTAACATTGCTCCACTTTTCTCTGGTTGTGGAGATCTGTACGGGAAATCACATCATTATGCCTGGAGGTCTCCGTGAAGTAATTGTCAAAAGCGATGATCCCCACAAGAATGTGTGCGCCCACAGAATATTAACTGATGAAGGAATCCTTTATTTTTTTATTTTCTCAATCTTGCAAATACACACATTTTCCTTCACCAGTGGAGTTAAAATTGCTGAAAGTCTAGCTCTTGACATATCTAGGAAAGTTTGTGTTTCCAAACCAAAAAAATAATAATAACCTCCCCTTGATCATGGAAAAGGGAAAGGAGTTGAGTTGCTGTGGCTTGTTACTATTTGGCCAAAGATTTTGGCTACCCAAGGCACTCGTGTCTGTCCACTTCTACTGTCCCTACACCCAATCCCATAATTAACAGCCTTTTAATAACTGCAGCCCGCTCTCATTTGACTCTTTATCAAAATGGCTCAATTTCTGTTCATTAGTAC